TTAACCGTTTTAAGGACAGTGTTAACTGTGTATAAACTACTTAAAACGTAAAATCTCTGTACTTTTGATAGAGTATGCCTTTGGGTTCTGTACGGTTCGTAAGGTAAACTGAGATTGTTTCCAAAACGAATTGATCTTTGTAATGCAGACGCGCTCTGTTTACTTTGAAGTAGGAACTGAATTTGTAGATATCATTTAGATGAGATTCTGCTTCAGAGGGTAAAATAGTCGAATAATATCAGTGACCTCCCGCCCTTGGGCAGGATCAAATGTGATTAGGCGGGCCTGTCTAGGAACATTGGCTCTAACATTCGTCATCAAAGTAAGTACATGTGCCCATCTGGGGGTAGTTATCACGTGGAGCAATGTCATTTCAGCAGTCATTTGCAGAAAATATGAAAGAAATATAATGTCAGAGAGTGTAAGCTCAGGATAGGGTCCGGTGGTTGGCTGTTGTGGTTGGTATAATGAACCATTCATTTCCATAAAAGACGGAGAATTTCTTTACCAACTGGGCAGCTGCTACCATTCTGAAGGACTTTGCTCCGCGGAGTTGGTTGCTACTTAAGCTAAGTGTAAAAGTGTTTTAGTATGCCCAGTTTCGCAGTGTAGTCTCATAAGAACTGACAAATATTCCATTACAGAGGTAAGCGTACTCGGAGAGCTCAGTCAATACGTTGACTGACTGAGTACTCGACAACCGGGGTTCGATCCCCGACAGGGGCAAAATATACTTCTAGCCCCTGCGTCCAGACCAGCTCTGGGGTCCACCCAGCCTCCTGTCCAATGGGTACCGGGGTCCCTTCGCCGGAGCTTAAAAATTAATGGGAACTCAAGAAATGTTTTAAATAATGCACATGGTGAGATCTGAAATTGTGACTTTTCAATAATAATAATAATAAAAAAATTGCCATGGAAGATCTTAAAGCTTCGAGGATTACCGTTAGAGTTTCTTGTGATGGATTACCTGGTCGTAGTTTGTCATCTCAGAACGCCACACTTCCAGATGTGTTTCTAGTTTCGTGTCATCCTATACATCGCGAAGATAGGCCTATCTCGCGGACTGTCCCACAGACTGGCTTCACGCCGGTTGCAAGCCTCGCCAAGTCTTGGACCGTGGGAACACAGCCGGCCATGGTTTGCAGGCGATTATTAGGGGGGGCAGTGTAAGGAGAAGGAGAAGCCAAAGCGAGCACGTGCTCCGACAGCTCCTGCCTGGTTTCTCGCTAACACAAGAAGGAAAAAGAAACAGAACAGAATGAGACAAGAAAGTTGTGGTATTTTAAAGGGGTTTAAATTTCGCGATGACATTCCATGGACATTTCGGTTAGAAACAAAGGATTTTTACTTTATAAGAATCTGTATATCATAGCCATACACGAATATTACGGAAGTTAATATTAATTAGAGAACGTTGGGTTATGCCATATTTGAATGAAATACTTTTTGAAAGAACGAAGCAGCGAATTTTAGACCACGTACAAATAGATTCTTGTGACGCACAGAAGGAAACTGGCGAGTGTTCGACCACCTGCCAGATTTTCCCACAGTCAGCCAGAGGAAGTGTGCGAGAGAGAGGGAGGTAGTTGGAAACGATTCCATTGATACTGGGTCTGAGTCAGCGGCAGATGAAGGTTGGCACAGATTGACCCCAAGTCGCGGAAGTGCGGAGGAACAACTGAAATAACCTAACCTCACACACACGACTGGGATAAGGTCGCCTTTTGTTGTTATCAATTGGACCGCTCGAACGCTGAAGAATAGGATCGTACC